GGAGAAGCAGCTATAAATACGACCACCTCCTGGGCCCTGGGCATTCACCAAGTGCCAGTCAGTAAGCATTTCACAGGGCTTAACTCACCCAATTCTGGCAAATTGTATGAGGCAGGAATTACCACCCCCCTTTCCTGAGGCACAGAGAGGCTAAGTCATGTGTCAGATTCATGAGGATTTGAGCCCAGGTTATCTAGCCCCAGAGCCTCCACTCTCCACACGTGCCACACAGTCTCCTGTCCAGTCTGGGGGACGTGGGAGACGGTGGCGTCACTGGCTGGGACAGGAAGTCAGGAGGAGCAGTGTGCGTGTGTGTATCAGTGCAGAGGGAGGGGCAGACACGGTGGTGCTTGGGGCACGTGTGCAATTTGGAGGCTCTGCCAGCACCCCAGTGGACGTGTGTGGCAGGCCTCGGGCCGCAGTGTGGAGAGGGAGCTGTTTTCCATTAAAAATAATGAAGCATCTGTGAAAGTGCTGTTGGCTAGCTTCCCCGGTCAAGCTATTCCCGAAAGCCCTGCTGTGCTCACAGACAGGAAGCCCAGGTCCCTCCTGAAGGTCTGGCCAGAGGTTGAGGAAGATCAGGTTCATCGCAAGGTGCTCGGGGTCCCTGGGCCGCATGGAGGAGACCCAGCCCCAGCCCTGAAGGTGACGCCCTCAGTTTATTCCAAGTGCCCTCCTCGTCCAGTGGAGCCGTGCTTCTCAACGCAGCCTGCTCACTAGTCACCCAGGCCTCCCCTGGAACCAGTTACATCAGACTGTCTCGGGCTGGGCACAGCTCTCCAGGAGATTCCACGTGAGGCCCAGGCTAAGCACCAAGAGCACAGGAGGAGGGTTTATCTTTGGAGATGATCAGAGAGCAGGCAGGGTGATCACTAACAGCTGCAAAGTACTTTTCAGCTCATAAAGCACATTCACTCATCATCATCCACCGGCTGGGAGAGAGACCGTGACTCAAAAAGAGAAACGACTTGCTCAGGGTCAAACAGTTACTTACCAGAAAAGCCATGACTAGAATCCAGGTCTGCTGACCTCAAACTCAGGGCTCTTTCGTGAGGCCACACGGGGCAATGCCACGGACCGGAGGCCAACTCATCTGTATTCACATAGAAAGGCGAGAGCACAGGTACCTTTTAAAGTCACTGTGACCCATGGGAGAATATCCTAACACAGAGCTGGAGCTGCGAGCCAGGGCACGATGGGGCAGCGGGGGCGGCCGGGCCGAGCCAGGCCAGGAGGAGCTGCCAAAG